ATTTATAAATTATGAGGCTGCTTCTTAGTTCCTTATAACCTAAACACCTGTCATGATGAAAGGTCAGATTCTGGAGTCAGACTGCCTGGGTTACAATTTCCGTTTGGCCACTTGCTACCTTTCTGTCTTTGGGCAGGTTCCTTTTCCTCTTTGTGCCTCAGTTTCCTCACCAATCACATGCAAATTAAGAACGTACTTATCTCCCGGACATGTCATGATTACTACATGAGAAAACATATATAAAACTCTTAGAACTGTCCCGCAATGCAAGTTTGGGAGACGTTAGTCATTGTTACTATTGCTGTTGCTGTTTTTGAGAAACTCCCGACTTTGCAGCAAACGGCTCTCCACTGGAGCGCCTACTACAATCACCCTGAGCACGTGAAGCTCCTCATCAAGCACGATTCCAACATCGGGATCCCTGATGTCGAAGGCAAGATCCCGCTTCACTGGGCAGCCAACCACCAAGATCCCAGTGCCGTTCATACCGTGAAATGCATTCTGGTGAGTTACACTACATGGCCTTTTCAAACATTGTTATTATGAAATACTCAGTAGACAGAAAAGCATACATATGACGTACATGCAAATTGTGAAGCAAAAGAATGCAACAAAAATGTTAACCTGTCAGCTGAGAAATCGAGTATTTTAATACCACTATTGAAGACCTCATACAAGTTCCTTTTGTGCCTGTTTTCAAGTAAATTCTCGCCCCGTGCCACACCCATCCCTGTCTTCCATCAATTGCTATCCTAAATTTGTATTTATCATTCCCTGACTTTATTGTATACTTGTGGTGAATAGATATGAGTGAATATTTGTAAAATACTTATAAGATACAAAGAATAAGGAAACAACAAATACTCATATACTCACCCCTGAGTACCATTACCTGTGAAGTACCCTGCGTATGGTACCTCCAAGACCATTCTATTTCCTCCTGTCTCAGAGGCAATGACTGTCTTCAGTTTTGTGCTTATCACTCCACTGATATTTTAACATAGTTTTACCACATATACTTGTATCCCTAAGCAATGTATCATTTAGTCTTTAAGGGTTTTGAACTATATCTAAATAGAATTATATTGTACGTATTTTTTTTTTGCAACTTGCTTTCCTTGCTAACACTCTGCTGATGATCTTATCTATGTTGCTGTGTATAGCTATGATACTTTGATTTTTAGTGCTACATAGCATTCCATTGTATGAATAAATCACACGTTATTGATGAACACTTTGACTGTTTCCATTGCTTCACTATTACGAACAGTCGCTTTGAACATTTTTTAACATATCTAGAGTATAGATTCCACTAGTTGTCTGTCAGTTTGTCCTACTGTGGTGGCTTGCATGTTGCTATGATGCTAGAAGTTATACCACCAGTATTTCAAACACCAGCAGGTACCCAAGTGGACAGGTTAGGAGAGCTTCCAGACTAAGACAGACTAGGAGGAAGGACCTGGAAGTCTTCTAAAATTATCGGCTAGTGAAAACCTTATGCATGGTTGCCGAGCACTGTCAGACATGGTGCTGGAAGATGAGCCCCTCATGTGGGGAGGCACTCAAAAAATGCCCAGAGAAGAGTGCTGCCTTAGAGTAGAACTTAATGACGTGGATGGAATAAAGCTTTTGGGACATTTGTTTGCTGATGTGGCAAGACAAAAATGAGAAGAAACTGCTGCAAATATCCATTAATAAATGAGACATGGAATGTATAAAGTATGAACCTAGAAAATTAGCAATTATGAAAAATGAAATGGAACACATAAAGATTGATATCCTGGGTGTGAGTGCACTAAAATAGACTTGTCTTGGGCATTTTGAATCGGACACTCACATGGCCCACTGTGCTGGAAATGACAAATTGAAGATGAACGGTGCTGCGTTCATTGTCAGAAGAACATTTCAGAATTTATCCCGATGCACAACACTGTCAGTGATAAGGTAATATCCATATGCCTACAAGGAAGACTGGTTAATACAAGTATTGTTCAAATTTACACATCAACCATTCATGCAAAGATGAAATTTAAGATTTTTGCCAACTTCTGCAGTCATCAAACATGCAGTCAAGATGCACTGGTAATAACTGGTGATTGGAATACAAAAGATGGAAACAAAGAAGGATCAGTATTTGGAAAATATGACCTTAGTGACAGAAATGACACTGGAGATCGCATGATAGAACTTGGAAGACCAGTAACTTATTCATCGAAAATACCTTTTTTCAACAGCATATATGGCAACTATAACATGAACCTCTCCAGAGGGAATACACAAAAATCAAATTGACTACATCTGTGGAAAGAGATGACAGAGAAGCTCAATATTATTCAGACAAGGCCAACTACAGAAGAGACCATCAATTGCTCCTATGCAAGTTCAAGTTGAAGCTGAAGAAATTGAAACAAGTCTATGAGAGCCAGAACATGACCTTGAGTATTCCCAGCTGAACTTAGAGACCATCTCAAGAATAGATTTGACAATTCAGCACTAATGACCAAAGACCAGACAGTTATAAGATGACCTTAGGGACATCATACATGAAGAAAACAAAAGGTTATTACAAAGACAGGAAACAAAGAAGAAAAACAAAATGGATGTCAGAAGAAACTCTGAAATTTGCTCTTGAATGGAGAGTAGCTAAAGCAAGAGGAAGTAAATGATGAATTAAAAGAGCTGAGCAGAATATTCCAAAGGGCAATTCAAGAAGACAAAGTAAGGTATTATAATGCAATGTGTAAAGACATAGAGGTAGAAAACCAAAAGGAAAGAACACACTTGGCATTTCTCAGGCTACAAGAATGGAAGAAAAAGTCAAAGCCTCAAGTTGCAACATTGAAGGATTCTATGGGCGAAATATTGAGAAATGCAGAAAGTATCAAAAGAAGATGGAAGGAATACACAAAGTCACTCTACCAAAAAGATTTGGTCATTATTCAACCATTTTAGGAGGTAGCATAGAATAAGAACTGGTGATACTGAAGGAAGAAATCCACGCTACACTGAAGGCACTGGCAAAAATATGTGGCTCCAGAAACTGAAGAATACCCGTATAGATGTTTCAGAAAATGCATGCAACACTGGAAGCTCTCATTTGTCTATGCCATGAAATTTGAAAGACCTGGCCAACTGACTGGAAAAAATCTATATTTATGCCCATTCCAAAGAAAAGTGATCAAACACATGAAGTTATTAAATAATATCATTAATTTCACATGCAAGTAAAATTTTGCTGAAAGTCATTCAAAAATAGTTGCAGCAAGTACATGGGCAGAGAAGTGCCAGCAATTTAAACTGGATTCTGAAAAAGACATAGAACAAGAGACAGGATTGCTGATGGCAGATGGATCTTGGCTGAAAGCAGAGGATACCAGAAGGATGTATACCTGGCTGTTACTAACTATACAATGGCATTAGCTGTGTGGATCATAACAAATTATGGATAACACTGTGAAGAATGGAAATCTCAGAAAGCTTTAATTTGCTCCTGCAGAACCTGTACATACACCAAGAAACAGTTATTCAAACAGAACATGGGAATACTACATGGTTTAAAATCAGGAAGAGTGTCAGAGTTGAATCCTTTCACCATTCTTATTCAGTCTGTATGCTGAGCAAATAATCCTAGAAGCTGGGCTGTATGAAGAACATGGCATCAGGATTGTAGGAAGACTCATAAAACAACTTGTGATATGCAGGTGACACAACCTTGCTTGCTGAAAATGAAGAGGACTGAAGCACTTACTGATGGAGATCAAAGACTACAGCCTGCAGTATGGATTACAGCTCCACATGAAGAAAATGAAAATCCTCACAACTGGACCCATAAGCAACATCATGATAATGGAGAAAAGATTGACATTGTCAAGGATTTCATTTTACTTGGATCTATAATCAACACCCATGAAAGCAGCAATCAAGAAGTCAAGTGACATATTCCATTGGGCAAGTCTGATGCAAAAGACCTCTTTAAAGTATGAAAATGCAAAGATGTCACTGAGGACTAAGGTGCACCTGACCCAAGCCATGATATTTTCAGTTATCTCGCATGCATGTGAAAGCTGGACAATAATAAGGAAGACCACGGAAGAACTGATGCCTTTGAATTATGGTGTTGGTGAAGAATATTGAATGCTCTGTGGACCTCCAGAAGTACAAACAAACCTATCTTGGAAGAAGTTCGGCCAGAGTGCTCCTTAGAAGCCAGGATGGTGAGACTGTCTCACATACTTTGGACATGTTACCAGGAGGGAGCGATCCCTAAAGACGGACATCATGCTTGGTAACGTAGAGGGTGAACGAAAAGGGGAAAATCCCCAACCAGACGGATTGACACAGTGGCTGCAACGATGGACTCATTGCAGTGATGAGGGTGGTGCAGGCCAGGGCAGTGTTTGGTTCTGTTGTGCACGGGCTCACAGCACTGACTCAACAGTAGGACAACAAGGACAAGAGGGTTTATGTATGGGAGCCCCGGTGGCACGGTGCTTAAGCTCTCAGCTGCTAATTGTGCGCCAAACCCACCAGATACTGAAAGAGAGAAAGATGTGGCAATCTGCTTCTATGAAGATTTGCAGCCTTGGAAACCCTGTGAGGCAGTTCTCAGTCCTGTAGGGTTACTAGGGGTTGAAGCAACTCCATGGCAATAGGTTTAGGGTATATGTTTAACCGGTTGCTGTGGGTGTGCAGAAATGCAGTTGAAGTCTCTGCATATTGATTGCATGTTGCATATCCAAGCAACTTGCTAAACTCTTACAACGTCTTAATATTTACCAGATTTGTTGAGGTTTTCTAATCGCTCCTTCCCTACTTCTAATTTACATGGAATATTTAGTCCTGTTTACTTTTAACATACAAATTAAATAAAAATAAACTCGCTGTCATCCAGTCGATTCTGACTCCCCATTGGGTTTCCGAGGCTGTAAATCTTCACAGAAGTAGATATCCCCATTACCTTCCACAGAGCAGCTGGTGGGTTTGAACCACTGACCTGGTTAGCAGCCAAATGCCTTATCTACTACACCACCAGGGCTCCTTAACATACAAATCAGACTTTTAAAAATAATATTTTGTTTGTAGAATGATTGTTTTTGCTTACATATTAACTAATTTCTTTATTCTGCATTTCTTCTGGAATTTCAAAGTTTTCATCTGGGATTATTCTCTTACTTCCTGAAATATTTTCCTTAGAACTTCCTTTAGTATTGATTGATTGATGCTAAAGTGTCTCTGTTTTTTATTGGTAAAAAATATCTGTATTTCACCCTTACTCTTGGAAGGTCTGGAAAACCTCCTGCTTTCTTTGTTGCCCTTGAGGGAGCTGTTATCGGTCTCATTGTCAGCCCTTTATAAATCACAGACGTTTTCTCTCGGGCTGTTTTTAACTCTTTACAGCTTTACTGCAGTGCACCCAGGTGTCTGTGTGTGTTTTTGTTAATCCTGTTTGTTATACGTTCTGACTATACTATCTCAGTTCTGGAAAATAGTAACTATGATCACTTTAAATATTGCCTTCTCCCTCATTTTTCTACTCTCTCCTTCAGGGTCTCTAATCATGCATTTTACCCTCCAGCCTCTTAACTTCTCTTTTATATGTCCATCTCCTTGTTTCTCTCGAAGGAGCTCTGGTAGCACAGTGCCTAAGACATCTGACTGCTAACCAGAAGGCTGGTGGTTCAAACCCACCAGCCACTCCACGGAAGCAAGACTGGGCAGTCTACTTCCATAAAGATTTATCGCCTTGGAAACCCACTAGGGGTTGCTCTGAGTCAATTGACTTGATGGCAGTGGGTTTGGTTTGGTTTGGTTTGTTTCTGCTACATTCTGAGTAATTACTTTAGATCTATCTTTCAGTTTGCTAATTCTTTCTTCAACAGAGTTGAATTTGTTTATCTTATCTATTGGGTCTTTAATTTCAGTGAATATATTTTTTTCATTTTTTTACTTGTATGGAGAAAAAATATGGAAGTTTTGCTTAGAAAATAGCTTCTGCCAGATAAGATTTATTGAGGATGCCATGCATGTCTGAAGTCTCTGCTTCCTTGAAAACAGGATGCTGCTCCGACAGAGTCTTTACTGAACTGGCAAGACTATGAGGGTCGAACACCTCTTCACTTTGCAGTCGCTGATGGGAATGTAACAGTGGTTGATGTCCTGACCTCCTATGAAAGCTGCAACATTACGTCTTATGATAACTTATTTAGAACCCCGCTTCACTGGGCGGCTTTACTAGGTGAGCTGAATGCGAATCGAAGGATCAACAGGAGGAGGAGGTGCAGGGGTAAAGGACAGTTCCTCTGCCTTCTTGTTCCCTGTTCCCTTCTACCTTTCATTGTTGCTTCAATTTCTGATTGATAAGTGGTATTATTTTATACCTAAACCCTTGTATTGTATGCTTAAATTTTAGTAATATAAACTTATCCTCTGTTATATGTTAGTTTTAACGTCCCATCGTGCCTTAACATGACAAAATGTAAATGTAAAATAATCATGTTTCACATTCAATGCCTTTATTTTTTGGAAGATGGGATTTTAATTTCATATTTGTCTTAATACCATGATACTTGATTTTTTTCCTTCATATTTTCCTGCTATGCCTTTTACCTAACCTTTTAGATGATCAATTGTATGTATCTCTAAGTGTCTGATTTTCTTTAAAGGACAAACCCAATCCAAGAGTTTTTCTCTTCTAGTGAAGGAGTTTTAGCCATTAATATTAATATTAATGTTGTTGTTGTTATGTGCCATTGAGTCAGACCCGACTCATAGTGCCCCCTCCTTGGGTTTATGAAGAGCTATCACTATGAAAGTAGATTGCCCAACCTTCCTTCCGAGGAGTGACTGGTGGGTTTGAACCGACAGCCTTCTGGTTAGCAATCAAGTGCCTTAGGCACTACGCTACCAGAGCTCCCATTAGTATTAATAGTCATTTTTATATATAATTTGCTCTTTTTTTTTTTTTTTTTGCTATTCTATTTTCTGGTTTTTTTCTCAAATTTTGTTCCTTATTTCCATTGTTTTCTGCTTCTTGCTGTATAGGTTGGTTTGTTGTTTGTTGTGTTAAATTACTTAATGTTGAAAAGGGTGGTTAAGTCCTATTAGTGGTTAGTTTGAAATTTATGAAAACTTTCTTAAAGCAGAATCAGAGTCAAGAGCAAACTGAATTTGTTGATTTCTACTGAAGGGAAGGAACTTACTACCCTTTTTCTTATCGCCCCTCTCATGTTTGTCAACATAACCTGGGAGTCCCTGTGGTTCAAAGAGCTCAGTGCTTCACTGTTAGCAGGAAGGTTGGGGGCTTGCACCCTCCAGAGGCTCCTCAAAAGAGCCCGGTGGTCTGCGTCAGAAAGGTCACCACTTTGAAAGTTCTGTGGTTATTTCTACTTTACTCTGTGCACGTGGGGTCACCATGAGTTGGAATCAACTAGATGGCAACAAATGAAAACAGTGATATGATCTGAGACCTTCCCCAATTACTATTACATTTGTCTTTGTTTTCCGTTATACATTGTCTCTTTCAAAAATGATTTCCACATTGGCCTTCAGTTTTATAATCAGAATTATCATTATTAACCAGACTTCATTTCCATGTGCAGTTTCATCTCTTTTTCCCTTTCCTCTCTGTCCTGGGAGGGCTTCTCAAATTTGTCTCCACATCACAAAATTGACTTTTTAGTCCGTAAGTTCTGCTTGCTTTCTGCCTGATATGTAGCTTGTATTTTAGATTGTGTTTAGATTTTTTTTTTTAATTTTCATTGTGACTTGGGTGAAAGTTTACAAAGTAAATTCATTTTCCATACAGCAGTTCATGCCCATTCTGTCTCATGACATTGACTACAATTCTCCACAATGTAACAGCTCTCTTCCTACTTCCTCCCTGTAGTTACCTCTTCCCTGTGCTCTTCCCTCCCCTGCACTCCCGCCCGGAGCTGTCTCCCTGCACACACTGCCCTTCTGCTCTCCCACCATTGATGGATCCATTGCTCCAAGGAGTGTAGACTCCTCCCTGTGCCCTTCCTGCATTCCCGCCCCGAGCTGTCTCCCTGCACACACTGCCCTTCTGCTCTCCCACCATTGGTGCTCCAAGGAGTGTAGACTGTGTTTAGATTTCTTGCATTCATTCATACTTCTTTTTTCTCATCTTCACTTTCACTCCCTTCCGTTATGCTTCCATTTCAGCCTGTTGTTTCCTTAGGACACTCTGTTTCTGTTCCCTAGAGGCCATCTCTTTCCACACTAAGTGGAGGATGCCACAGCCTCCTGCAGTCTCCTTCTGGGTCCGCCCCTAGAAGGCTTTCAGAGTATGCTTTTCCTCTTCATCCTGCTGGTGCAGTCCCGTTCTCCTTGTCCTGTTGTGTGTTTTCATGTAGTCTTTACTGTAGTTTTTCTCTTTATTCCTCAAACAAGATGAGATGTGTTTAGATTAACCGTCTGGCATATTGCCTTTGGTCCTACTTTTATGCATTTGTGTTAAGGAGCATTCCATCCCAGATCACAGCTGGAGAGCAAGTAAATGAGCTAACTCCACTCAGATTCCTTTTCTCTGCCAGGCTTCATGCAGCAGGTCCTTGCTCTGCTAATATGGCATTTTCTCCCTTACTGGTTTCCCAATATGTTGAAGCAATTCAAAAAAATGAAAAAATTGCCACTGAGTCAATTCTGACTCATAGCAGCCTTATTGGACAGAGTAGAACTGCCCCACAGTTTTCCAAGGCTATAAACCTTTATGGAAGCAGACTGCCATGTCTTGCTCCCATGGAGTGGCTGGTGGGTTCAAAACTCCAAACTTTGGTTAGCAGCCAAACACTTAACCACCATGCCACAAGGACTCCTGCTGAAGCAATAGAACGTGTAACATTCAAGTTTTCTATATATACTATTACAAGGTTTTTCTTGATTCTTTGATCTCTTGTACGGTTGTTCACTTGGTGGGGGTCATAGCCTCCAAAACACATTGTACAGTATTGGCCTGCTGTCATCTCCTCCTGCCTGCTCGTTTGTTGTCTTGGATTTGAAATATCTGTCTAGATATTAAAAGGTTTGGGGAGAGAGGCTTGAGAGGATGGATAAAGGACTCAGACAGAAAATACCATATTATAGCACCTGAATAGTGGAAGAGAACAGCTGTGCGATTCCAGGTGATCATCAGTAGAACCTCGAGATGAGGAATGAATATGACGGGGGCTGGGACCTCGAGATGAGGAACGGACGTGACAGGGGGGCTGGCTTCTGAAGCTCCTTCCCTCCTTTACGCAGACAGTTGTGTACAGCGAAGCCAGGGTTTGCAATGACTGGATCCCTAATACAGGATTTTTTCTCCCAATCTGACAGTTAAAATGAATGTCATTTCCTTCTTGACTGAAGCATTAACTTTTCAGTGCTATGATGTTCCCCTTTCTTCGGTGTTATCATGCATTTTAGTGAGAAGTTACAAGAGGCTGTGTTGGGACTGCTACTCGGAAACCATTCTGAATAATGTATTATGTACTAGTGATCTTTCTAATCGTGCTCTTTTAATAGATGATGAATTCATTAGGTTCTTTTATACATGATAACGACCTAGCTGTGTGTGCTTTCAGGTCATGCACAGATAGTCCATCTCCTGTTGGAAAGAAACAAGTCTGGAACCATTCCGTCTGACAGCCAGGGAGCCACCCCCTTGCACTATGCAGCTCAGAGTAATTTTGCTGTAAGTAAAATACAAGAGTTACCTTTTCTTAATTACATTTTTCATTTTGATATAATTGTAGATTGACATGAAGTCAAAAGAAGTAATACAGAGTTCCACAGTTCCCACAGTAGTGACATCTTATAAAACTGTAGTACAGTATCACACATGGGAACTTGGCACGATTCAGCAACTGACCTTATTTAAATTTCACCTGTTTTACGTGCTGTCATTTGGGGGGGGGGTGCATGTGTGTGTGTAACAGTTATCTTTTAACAGTTGTTCATACTGTTAACTCTGACTGTGCTGCAGGTGATAGTCTGCTTTCTTAGTCACGTGAAGTTTAATGCAGCTTTTATTTTAATGTTCAGTGTAACATTTTGCTTTACTGTAAAGTGTGCTTCATTTTTGTTACTTTTATAGCACTAAGGACATCTTAGTTCGAAAATCTGTATTTGTCCTGAAGGCAGTGAGGCAAGGCTTTGGAATTAAACAGCTCTTGACTAGCATCCTGATTGTGCTGCTTGCTAGCTGTGTGACCTGGCTCAAATTTCTTAACCTCACCAAATCTTAGTTTCTTTGTATGTAAAATAAACATACTTATACCTTTTCCTTCAGGATTACTGTGTAGATTAGAGAAAATTTATGACAAGGACCTAGTATAGACCTTGGCAGAGAACAAGTACTCAAGAAATAAAATGTACCTTATTATTACTAATTCTAATAATTATGTATATTACACAACTGAGAAAGCAAAAATATGAATTATTGATATTAACAAAATACTGAGCATAATTAATAATTCTTTCCTTACAACACTTTGTAGTTTACAAAGCATTATTTCATCCATTAGGTCACTCAGTCTATGAGCAATGTGATAGTGTCTGGGCTGATTTGGCTTTCTGAATGTGAATGACTACCAAGGATGGATAAGGAGCCCTGGTGGCCAGTGGTTAAGCACTAGATGCTAACTGAAAGGTTGGCACTTCTGTAAAGATTAAAAACCTGTTGCTGTCCAGTTGACTCCAACATTTGAGTAGAACTGCCCCATAGGGTTTTCAAGGCTGACAGAGCAGATTGCCACAACTTTCGCATGCAGAGTGGGTTACTATGAGTAGGAATCAACTACAGCAATGTTTTTCTTTTCCCCAAGAATCAGAGACTGTAATAGTTGGATCTGTGTGTCAACTTGGCTGGACCCCAGTTCTGTGTGGTTGTTCCCATGATGGGATCAGATGACTGTGTTCTGAGTGGCCAGTCTGCCCAAGGGGAATTTCCCTAGGGGTGTGGCCTGCTTCCAAGATATCCAGGGACATCCTAGGAAGAGAGACATTCTTTGAGGGATTGGAACCCTGGTGTGCGG